AAATACGACATTGGTTTTGCAAAAAATGATAAGCTGACGGTGAAAACTGCAAAATACAAGTGAATTTTCTTGTGTTTTGCTACCTGTTTCAAGAAAATTAATTTTCTCAGCAAGGAAGAATATTTTCCAAAACCGATACCAACTTTTTTTCCCACAAGTGTAATGACTTAAATAAAGAAAAAAAAATTTGCCTAACTGCTAACCAAAAAACTAGATAGGCTTACAAGAAGGTCGGGTGGGGTTTCAGCCGTTCTGCCAGGTCTTCAGCGATTTCAGTCGGCCAATAAGGTTCTAAAAGTGTCTGAATTGCTTTTTTATATTCAATTTTGTATGTAAAATCAGGAAAAAATAGTATCAAAATTTTAAAAAATCAATAAATCAAAACTTTTTAAATGAAAAAAGACTTTCAAAAATTCACTTTTCAGTTTTTTCTAGGTAACTCGATGAGCTCAATCTAATGATCAAAAAAAAATCAACAAAAATTTTTGCTTATCTTTCGAATTGCCGGCATCCTAAATAAAGCTAAAAGGTTTCCTGGACAAAAGCTGACTTCGTTGATGTGTGTCTCAGGATTTTTGGGCAACTTTCATTTTTTTCGAACTTTTCAACCGAGATTTCTGCGGAAAAGTATGAGTAAACTTCTGCACCGGACTGCCGACAGGTAGTATGTCATGCTCGACTTTTGGANGGACTAGTCTGGACGGGTTACTCGGACACTTCGGACTAGTCCGGACGCTGGTCAACCAGGTTTTTTTGCTCACTTGGGCAGTACAGGCTGAATCTTCAAATTCTTATTTATCAATTTGATCTCGTGTTTTTATTCCTGCCAAAATGGATTTAGTTCTAGATTTTAATTGATTAATAATTTCATCGACTCTCTCTCGAAAATCTGACAGAAACAAGAAAATTATGTTGAGAAATATCTTAATTTTTGTAGATTTTACGAACATGGCCATTGGTTACGACAGAAATCATTGATGAAGAACATTTTCACTCACGAGGGAAGTACCCTAACTGATAAATCGCTTTTTTCGCTAAACGTACTGTGTTACAGGTTATCGACTACGCTGATTTCAAATAATCATATGAGACGGGCTGCTAGGCCTTCCTAGAGCGGTTTTCCAGAAACTCCAAAAAATTTCTGAAGCTTTTTCTTCATAAGCCATGATTGTAGTCCACAAAGTTCTGATTAAAATGAGACATTCCACAGCCCTACAAGGCCTTTCTTTGCAAAGTTATAGGATTTACAAGAAAAGCCCTTTTAAATTTCTTTTTCCTTTTTCCGTCTATATCTCTAAGCTGACTATGAACATTTATGGCTTTTCTTGTAAACTTTATGACTTTGCAAAGAAAGGTCGTGCAGAGCTTTTGATCAGAACTTCGCGGACTACAATCATGGCAAATTAAGAAAAGGCTTTGAAGACTTTTTGGAGTTTCCAGAAAACCGCTCTAGGAAAGCTAAGGAGCCCGTCTCACATGGATATTCGTAATCACCATGGTCGATAACCTAGAATGCACTAGGTTTGGTGAAAAAAGCGATTTATCAGGTTCCTTCGTCAGAACTGTCTCGAAGTGATAAAGCTTGGGGATTATCGTTCATGTCTTGCCTTGTAACCACAACTGTTAGATTCACTATATTTTGAACGTAATTTTTGGATAAAATGATTGTGAAATTCACATGCTAGTATTCTAAGAGAATAACTGATACGGTTGAAATAATTTTTGTTAAGTCTCCGACGCTTTTCTAAGAAATTGAAAACAAAGATCTTGTTTTACAAGAAAAGCAGTGGTTCTTGAATAACTAAATTTATAGAAGGCTGAATATACCATAATAGAGAAAACACATGATAACTATGTAGATTGTCATTTGGTGAATATAACATTTTTCAACACATCATAAATGACACAATTTTTAGAACTGATATAGAGTAATTTCATTATTTAATAACAGCAAAATGACTAATGAATTATTTACTTAGTTTGAAACGTTTAGCTGAACTAATAGTGTGATAATCGGCAAAAAGTTTTTCTTGTACATTATTTGATTTTGGTTCAATCATGTTTAATAGAACTTCACGCAACATTAAACATGTTTGACGTTCATTTTCATAATCAGATGATTTCATTACTAATAGTAGTTGTCCATTTCCATCACTCAAATGTTCATAAACACAGGATAATGATTCCTGTTCTTCTATAATTTTATAAAAATTGGAACACCGTTGTTTGTCAATGCTAAATTGCTGAATAGAATGTTTAACATCGCAGAGAAATAACATTAATACTTTACAATCATTGCAATCACAATCAATATTTGATTTTTGGAAAATAATGGGTGGTATTGACTCACAATAATAACAATTTAAAGCACTCAAACATTGTTCATGCAATATAAAAAAACACTCTTGTGCATTTTCATTCGAGTGATAAGATTGAATTTTAAGAAGAAATGGAATCAATGATTGTATGACTCCATTTACGACGTTCGTATTAGAAGAACATCGAAGAGTTTTAATAATTGACGATGTAATTAGTTTGATTGATGATAAATATTCATTATGACAAAGTATAAGTAAATGCAATAACCAACATAATTGTGTAACTGTGAGTGGAGTAACAGAAAATCTTTTTTTAAAAGCAAATAACAAAAGTTCATTGGTCATACATAATATTAAGAATGATAAAGTTGTATCATCATCACTTGATAGTTGAAGTAATGAAATAAGAAATTTAGCTGCGTGTAATATCGTTGTTGTCATTAGTGTAGATCGAAATGCTTCATGAAATGGAAGAGAAATATTTATCCATGTTAATGAATTACCAAGTTCATACATTTCGTTTGGTAATTCTAGTAATTTTTCAATAAATACTTCGTGTTTCATTAAGTCTTTTATTAGATTCATAACTGAGATGTTAATTGTTGTCTGTGCACAATACAACGTTATTAAACATTTCAATATTTCTTTCAAGTCAAATTTTGGATTTTTTCGTTTAAATAAACAATGAAATAGTTCAATACATTCTTCAAATATCAATGTGTTGATTTTCGAGGAATTCAATTCAATTTGCTTACGTATTTCTGCCAGTACAGTATAAAAACGAGGAAGATCATCCATAAACAATTCCCATTTCAAATGATACGGAATTAATAATAATGCACCAACATATCCATTTGATAAAATATAATTACCTATTAATAGAACAATAGTAACAAAAGAAGGCAAAACTAATTTTATGAACTACAGAGAAAAAATTTACTTTGATTTAGTAGATTCTGTAGTAGACGGATTAACTTACGATTAACAATCTTAGAATAGAATGGGAACTGAAATGGTCATTAGTTCACTGCTTTCTGCTTTGTTTTTATGTAAATACTAAATTTTATATTTTTTCGTATTCTCTTCCATTAAGGATATCCCTCCCCTCATTTTGGGCTTTCTGTAGAAATGCTGTAAAATCAAAAATAAAAGTCACTAAGACTTGATATTTTCAGAACTGATTGGAAACTCAATTGAGCATCTTTTCGTCTGCGTTTCAAGGTTTTAATTATTACCGTTTACGAGTTTTCCAGAAAAACTCGGTTTTTCATTGTACCGCACTACGACTTCCCTCTAATTTCATCTGATTGAGTTAAAAATTATACCGGAGGTACTCAAGGCAATATCACAGAAATATTTTTGGGACTTTTTTAAAGTCCTGCCCCCTGTCGAGTTCTACGAAAAATGCTGAAAAACGTCTCAAAATCCAAGTTTTTCAATTTTAGAAACTTGGATCCTGGAGAATGTCTTATTGTGAAGAAAACACTTTCTTCTACCAGACTATGTGTAAGAAAAGTTTTGAATGTATAGAAAAGGAGAGAAAAGTTTATAAGACTAAAAAATTGTAGGCTTTGAATAAAAAACTTCCGAAATGTGTAAAACTTTTTGAATAAAGGTCGTGGAATGCTGGAAGCGATCACATTTTGTAGCTCATACTTTTCTCTACATTAGAATACTCTCTGCTCAAATGCCGAAGTTTTTTCAAAAAAGAGAGCTGGGTAGCCTTAAACTCGAAATTTTTACGCAAAAAGTGACAGGAAATCTGTGTAGTAAAAGAAAATTTTCCTTCACAATAGTTTTAATTAAACGGACGACAACCTTTTACCTGTACTTCTATTCATATCAGTAAATGTCGTATTAGGCATGTTATGCATAAAAAATGCCTCTTCATCCATTAGTTCATCAAAAGAAACAATAATGTCTAAATTGTTATCAAAATTAAATAATTTACACCATGGAAAGTCGTTATTATGTGCAGTAAACACTGGCATCAAATCTGAAATTTTTACTGTATTGTCAGTGTACTCATCGTACGTACGCTCATATTCTTCTTCTAATGCAAGTCTACCGAAATATAATAAAATATTATTTTTCTTTGATACTTCATATTGTTGTTGTATTGATTTTAAAAATAAACTGGCAATCGATCGATCTTTTTTATTTAATAATAATGACGATATATTGGCTCTTGTATATTCAGCAGATAGATGAATGACTAGTTTTGATGGGAGATTTTTATTTTGATACCATGTTGATAATAGTTTGTCTAATTCTTGTACTAGTAACATATCAGATAAGTCAGGATTTAAATAAATAATAGGTGGTATTGATGGACTAGTTTTTTCAATGATAATGTTATATACTAATGTTACTTGGTACCCTTTTGTCACCGGTTGTATTTCATGTTTACAATTTTTTGATGCATTATACACGACATAATGTGTATATTGATTAGCATCATGGGCAAAATCGAATAAATGTTTTTCTTGTGAATATTGGATGTAATGTTCTCCACCTGAATATAATGATGGTAATATAATTATTAATTTTCCTAACACAAATACATTAGATAATAATTTCTCTTCTATTTCATCATATCTTTTAAATACAAAACTTTTTTCATAAAAAATCAATCTCAAACATTTAAATGAGATTTTATTTGTCCAATTTTTGTTTAGACCCAATTCATAAACTATTCTTGATTTTAGATTATGTAATGCTGATAGTGACCAGTCGTTGTTTATTATTTGAAAATATTGTGCTTCTAGTTGCCAGGCCTTGTTCAACAGCTAAAGATACAAAATGTTATTGTGAAAGATGAAGATGAGGTTGTAGAAAGCTAAGAATTATTAATGCACAGATCCACTAGTGAATGTATTAGAGATCAAGTACTTAGTTACTTGCAAATTTTCTAAAGGACTTGTTTAAGCACTTGTCAAGTATTTTTAGACTTAATATGTGCCAGATACTTCGAAGAACTTCGGATACTTGCATATATTTTGCAAGCACTTATCAAGTTACCTGTCAAATATACTTATCTACTATCTGTTCAAAAATATAAGATCGATGGTTATTTTGTTGAATAATTCAAAAAGAATGCAAGATAGAGACTTCGGTTTTCATATTTGCTACCCCCCATAATAGAAGTCTCCGGGGCTTCTAAACTGTCCAAGTGTTCAAAATTTTTAGGGAGGGCTTGTATTATGAAGGGGCTACTATTACGACTTTCGTACAAAAATTTTCAGAAAAAAAAGGAGATTTTGAATTTCGATGCTCTTG